TGATACAGGTTCGAATTTGTGAATGAACAAATTAAAATAGGTATTATCAAGATTGGAGCATCTCATCTTAACATGAAGCAATGTTTTTAAATTCTTTTAAAAATTTTAGGTACGTGTATTGTAACAAGCATTATTTGTAATAACGACGTTGAATGTATATGTTATTAAATTCAGTGTGGTAATCCAATTTGGAGTATCTATCTAACGCGGTAAAGTATCCAGGTTAATTTTCCACTAGTGTATATTAAGCGTAATTTATTCTAGACGACTCAACAGTTCATGACATAATGGAAAAAGATATCGACTAATTCGAGAGGAGTCTAACATTTGGAGTTCTGCTAGTCTCGTCTTATCCCATTTAGGCATTTCACAATGAAATTCCCTTCATAAATTTTCAAATTAAAAAATCCATAGAGTGGTAATGAATGTGAAAAAATTACTAAGGCTTAGCTATTTTAACTGCATTTGTGATATACTATGTGCCCAGACTAACTGAAAACACAGGTCTTCCATGTAGCAAATTTATCCTGCTTTTCTCTGGACAAATTTTAATTTAGACAAAAACAGATAGCCAAATTTAGAAGGATCAGGTATGTCTGTTTGCCTTTATATCGGTACATGTAATTGTGCGTATGGCTACTATGGCTAGTATTTAAACTTATATATATAATAGAAGCATTATTTGGAATTACGCAAATCCCACTTAGTTGTATATAAATGCTTATCGCGAGCGCCGAAGGCGCGAGCGGGTTGGGGCGCCTCGCTAGGTTTGCCCACCCTACAAAATTGGTTAGTTTAGGGCCTGAATGTAATTGATTATACATGAGCATAACAGCACCAGAGATGCATGGTAAATGTGGATTTGGTTAATTGTCTTTATCAACTTAACCCAGGCCACTACCACGTCAACATTGACCCCAAAGGGGATGGCAAGTGGTACGAATTTAATGACGACAAAGTCACCAGGATTTCGGAGGATGGAGCAATTTCTAAAAATTTTGGTGGTGTTGGGGTACCTTAAAATTATTTCTAGTTTCAAAATTATTGTTGCAATAATCAATACTTTTACAGGACACGAGTGCCATGACATTGGTGTATTTAAGAAACACGAGTAAAGATTCGATACTCGCCACCGTCACGGAGGACGATATTCCACCAGATGTTCTCACTTATGTCAAGAAATATCCATTACGGGAGAAGAGCACGATTTAACTATGTATTTAAACATTGCAAATTGTCATTAAAATTATGGATCTCAAGATAATCTACAAAAATAATTTATTAAAGGCTTTAAGACAAAACACGATAAATGCAGGAACCACAATTTTAAAAACTGCTTGAATTATCTGCTCACATACAAGTTTATGTAAAATTCCGGCTCAATATCAACCCATTATAAAAGTGTGGCTGGTTGTTTACACTTTAATTTATAAACAACACTTCAAGGAAGTGCACACGGCAACTAGTTTTTTGGCATTTGCATTGTAAAGTTCTAAGCTCAACTTGGAACGGAATTATTTACTTGCACTAGTCATAAGTTTTCAAATTTTGAAATTTATTTCAAGTTTGCTGAAAAAGTTAGTTCCATATTTTCGGAAGACATTTCAGGTTTGTATCCCATTCGATTTTTCAAAATTCAACAACTTTGCTTCCTAAATTCTGGAAACGAAGAATAATTATTTTTTCATTGCTGTTTTATCCAAATATAGTTATAAATGATAACATGCCGTTAATACAATAGTGACAATTATTAATTCAAATTTTTCTTTCAGATTCTTCACTCCCATCAATTACTGAACTAGCAGTACCCCAGTATTCTGTAAGTATACAACAATTATTATTGTAAATTACACTCAGTGCAAAAAATTGTGTTCCGTCTTAACGCTGTCATCGGAAAAACTTGGAAAATATAAATATATCGTAGTGGATATTTTCTATAACAATTAGTATTTTTAATCTTATGTACTATTTCACTGCATATTCCATTTATTTCTATGTCCTGCAGAATGTTGCGTCTCATCATTATCACCATGGCGACGCTATCCTTGGCCACTGTGGAGAAGGTACCTTACTCCCTCATATTTCTTTATTCCCTAATTTTATTCAAAACTGCATCTACAGCCCGTCCAACCAATAATCTTCATTCATCTCTCGGCTCCAACAAAGCTACCCTCAAACATCTCCAATGGTCCCGCCCCACCTCCACCGAACTCGCTGACCGTCCATATTTCCATGGCGACCGAACAGCTCACACAGGTAGTCGCAGCATCCCCCAATTTCAACCTTGCCCTTGGAACACTGGCTCAATTCGAGAAAATTGCCAACGAGACTTTTCACTTGCTGAACCGAGAAAAGAACGAGGACAAGAAGGACGAGATTTTTAAGAACAAATTTGCCCCACTGGGAATCGTTTTTGATGGAAGAAAGTTAACAAATAATCCCAACAATAGAATCGAGGTTTCGCCGTCGTGGACTCCAATATTCAAGGAATTTGAAGAAGAAATGACAAAATTACAATATCTATACGAATTTCTTATACAATTGGACAAGGAATTAAACGAACGTATCAAGACGAAAAATACGGGAACGTTTACCGAACTTCTAGCCGGAATCAAGAAATTGAACTCTACGGAGTGGATTAAAGCCGAGATTAGAGAAAACCAAGTAGGACCTGACTTTTGGCGCCTATTGAGCAGGTTAGCTATATTTTATTGTTTTAGCCATAGAAACAAATTTCTGTCCGTGCGACGCCCTTTTTCTGCAAGGGCATCGCAGGTTACATTTCCCTACAAGTTTTGTAGGGAATGTAAATAGAGTTTTACAGGTCCTGTTTTAATTTTCTCACTTTTTTCTAATTGATTTTTACCAGAAAAACGGCCTTTCCCACTTTTTCTACTGTCTCCTAGACAGGAGAAGAATATTATAATTTACAATGTAAATAGTATATTTTACAAGACTTAAAGCACATTTCTCTCAATTTTCAGCTCCGTCAGCCACCACATAGGATCTCCGGTGTATAAAGATACACCGATTCTGCCTCAGACCCAAATCTCTAAAAGGGGCATATTCCTCAATACCCCATACAAAATACATCACTACAGACATCCAGATTGCTTTATGGTCGCTGGAAATAGGTTGAACATGGTTTGCTCTAAAAACGACCACGATTCTTACTATAACAAAAAAATTTCCACCTGGATTTTGAAAAGCATATCCCAAGAAACCGAGAAACCATACACGGATTTTTTCCGTCTAATGAACGCCAACAAAGTACACAAGTACATACGTAGGAAGAACCACAAATGACGTCCCTGTAACTTTCGGCCCAAAGCAACCAGGGTCCACAGAATTCAAAGTAGCTGCCTGTGTGGCACGTGACATCTACTGCTTCGCAAGCCACATGAGCTACGGAGACTCTCCTGGCGACTTAAGGGGCGTGTTTGGAGCACTTTATAACGAAGAGGGACAGGACATTGGTATAAATTATTATATAACCAGTCCCTTCAGCCAACTTGCAGCAACCTTCCATCCGTACATCACGTATACCGCTGTATTTCGCAACTTCCACTTCACCCCTCCCCCCGCCGACGAAATTGCAAAGAAAACCAAGAAAGTTTACCTCATCGACACCCTTGACATCATAAATGACAGCCCCGCCCTAGTTTCTCGGACCATCACGGTTTCCCAAACAATTGAAAACCAAGTCCAGACAGGATTCTCCGTTTCCGTCAAAGCTTCCTTAAAAGTAACTGTGTCCGGAAAGTTTGGCTTCCCATTAGGAGGATCAGAAACAGAGATGGGTTTCGAACTCGGACCAGACTACCACTCCAATACGAAACTAACAACGCAAAAAAAATTTGAACTCTCACACACCGTCACGGTTCCGGCATACACTTCAGTAAGTTAATTATTTTTACAAATTTTTACAAATTTTATTATAAATTTCGTATTTTTCCTGTATAAATTTTTGATTAAATGTCCCCAAAAATAGGTAACCGTCAGTGCTTGGTACGAGCGGATCACAGATCTGACCCTACCCTACACTGCCGAGGTGGAGGTGATGGGAAAAGGGCAACGGCTTACTTACTATGACGATATCGTGGAGGGGCAACCTGTGTCTGAGAGTCTGATGGACGAGGAACTGCGTGTGGCCAGATTCCCTGGAGCTATCGTCAAGTACGGGGATAAATCTTTGACCTTCCGCATTACAGGGAACATGACAGCTAGTGCGGGTATCCGTGGACAAATTGAGGTAAACGGCAAAGTTGTAATGATGAAAATGTAAATTTTGACATTAGAAAAAATAAATTGGAAATAAAATCAGAATAAGTGGTTGTCGTCATAGCGGTGGACTACTTTTTTCACTAAAAACCACTCAATTTTGGTAACGTGCTTCTACAAATTTGTAAAAAATCATATTTTTTTTCCCAGTTTCATTAATTTACACCTAAATTTACCAGTCAATTTTGCACATTATTTTACACAGTACAGTTGCTACTAATTTTGCAAGAAATACGTAAATAAATATTATACATTTATTTCTTCGGACAATTCCATTTTTGTAAATGTTTTTTTTTTTATTTTCTTAAAAAAATAAATTGCTCCCCGACCATGCAAATTTTTAACAATTGGCCACATAAAAAACAAATCCTTGCCAATATGAGGGATGTCCGCATTAATACCTGAATTTTAGAAATCGCACCATATCTTAATAACTATGGCCAATTTCGAAAAAGGCATGCGATGGAGGAAACTAGGTTGGATCTTCCTCCAACCAATTCCGTTTAGCCCAAGTCACTAAAATATATCAAATTAGCCTTGACCAAAAATTGGTACTTGAGATCACGAAAATTATGCATTCAGTATTCATTTATTTAATGAATTATTCCCTCATTCATTATTTATTTGAATTAATGTGAACAGGTATGTACGTAACAAATAAGTAATATACTCGTGAGACTAGATAAAAACAAATCTCTTCCAAAAATCCATAACCACACGAAGGTATCGTACTTACATAATCAATTGTGTCAGGATAAGTGTTCCCCGATATTGTTCTCCATCACACCTGGGCAGGAATATATTGCATGGTTGTAATTTACAAGTATCCTTGCATGGTATAAGTAAATTTCCCTCTTCATATGTGCACGTCGTGGTAAAGTATGCAAACATATATATCCCCTTACACACATAAGTATTTACATAGTTTGTTTTAGGCAATGAAATATTTGCAACTCAAACACAGCTGACTTGCCAAACTTTTTATCTTATTAGTAGAACATTTCCGCTCTTTTATCTTCTTTTTTGTTATGCATCTCTAATTTCAAAACCATAGAAAGATACACATTAAAAGAAATATCGAGAATTACTTTATACAATTAAAACTTTTTTGTAAATTTACTCCCGCAGTGTTCGCCAGTTAACTGTGTTACATAAAATATCAGTCGGAATTTAACCATTTGAGAATAGGTATCTAAACCATTATTAGTTTACATACGTAAACAAGGCTATAAAATACGTACGTCCAGGATTCCACCATTTCGTGTAGAAAGTGAAAATGAGGTATGTATGCAAATGTAAAATTAATTACAATTTTTGTTCATCTTTTAAATTCTGAAATTTAAAGCTACCCCATTTCTCCTTCGATTTTCCAAATTTTTAATTGTTTTTACAAAACGCATTTCTACGGTAGAGACTCTGCCTTCCGAAAACGATTTCAATTTTCAAATTCCGCCCAGAAATGTGCGAGTTTTCGAACTTCAAAACTTACAAAATGAACAAAAAATTTATTTTATTTTAGACCTAAGTACACCTCGCACAATTATTTCTATCCCAATTTTGAGTGTAATTATCGCAACGAATATTTAACAAATCTCCCACAAATTTTTATTTGCGACTCCTTACTGTGTAGTGGGTCCATTATTATAGTGCAAAATCCCCTGTTCATCATCATTTGTGACACATAATTCTTCCTAGATTAACTGAAAACCCTTTTTGACGAAAACGACCAATTTCATAGAACTTATTGGGTTTAACGTCTTCATTCATCCCACGTATGTACGGTCAAAAATGATTGTACCATGTTTCTTGAAACTATTTATAAAAATTGCAGGCTTTTGATTGCTCCCAATTAAATCTATATTTTATTTGAATTCACCAGCGTATTTAATCTGCCCGACCTAACTCAACTAACACTTCGTATAACACCTGACGGAGACGCAGCTACACAACCGGAAGTGATACCCCTCTCTGACCACGACCTATCAAATATGTCACATCACCAGGACGAAGTTCTACAATTTTGCAATGGGATTTCTTTCTCCGTCGTCACCTACAACATTTCACACGCAAATAAACCCGCCCGACCGTCCGCAGCCCAGAAAAAGCATCTCCTAACCGCAATATTTTCCGACTTACCGGCCGACACTTACTTCCTCCAGGAATGCAGCTGGACCGATATTGCCAAACATATAGCAACTATTCAATTGAAATATAAATTTCGGTGGATAAAATCGTACCAGCAATTAATTCTGTTTAACAGCAAAAAATTTACCGGTATCAGTCTCCAAGCAACGATTCCAAATATTGCCGTTGACGTGCCACGCGATAGGTTTTGTGTTCTAAAGCTTACGCACAAAAATGCACCTAATTTTGACTTTATAGCGATAAGTTGGCATGCTGACAGGTTTGGAAAACTTAATGTATCTTTCTTCAAATTCGTTGACGGTTTAGTTGACACGGAAAAAATTCCCGCCTTAGTCGGTGGAGATTTTAATTATACCAAGTTGAAAACCTATGAGGATAAAAACGTCGGTCGATTCCATTATTCTCTCGATATCGGGGAAGAGTTTCACGTCAAATTGAAGAATGTGTTCTACAAGCCAACCCAGCATTGTGTCAGGGGATCATCGATTGATTTCTTAGTCTCGACTTTTGGTCCGTGGCCTCTCCTATTAGGGCTACACAGCGCGCAGGAACTCTCCTTGCGGGGAGATGTGATGGGGGAAAGGTTCAATTTAGCTGCGAGATCCCTCACAAATATTGCACCGTCCAATGTCACTGATCATGTACCCGTTTATGGATACGTTAACTGCTTTCAGATGCTGCAAGACGGTATTGCCCAAATGTAAACAAATTTTCTAACCTAACACCAAAATATCATCATGTCGGTAATGAAATTAATACCGAAAGTAATACTGTGCGGAGTAACTTGATTTCCAAAAACCATTTGCCAAATTCTGCGAGGCCCATCATTTTCCATGCGTTTCTCGGACGTTTATTTTTCAAAGGTCCACCTTCCATGGCACACTTCTCGACAATCTATCCCTTAATCTAAATATTTAAATTTTCTCGGATATTTGTTTCTTAAATATGGACAGTGTTAATATTTATCCGACTATTAATTACCAACCGCTTGGGCAATAGTCTCTCTGTTTATTATTAAAAGTCAGAATTTTTCCGGAGAAATTGGAGGAAATAATTTCTCATACATTTTTCTGAGGATAAAGAAATGAAAATTTTGAAGGTAAATAGGAAACAATAACATTAAATATTAGTTAAAAATTATATCTTCAAATTAAGTTACTTCTGTTCCCTATTTTACGCAGATCACTGTATTTTTCATAAATTTAATAAAATTTAAGACCTTTAAATTTAAATTATAATTGTGCAATTTTTCACCTAAACCAATTTTATTTGCTAATCGCCTCTCACGTGGAAGGGTTGCATATATTAAGTTTTATTCTACAAGTCGTCCATTCCCAACCACCTGCGTTATACATCAAGGTTAGCTAATTAAAGCGTTAAAATCGATCAGTTAATAATTATTAAGCAATCACTACATGACACTTTGCCC